CAATACCAGGCCTAACCTAGTGGAACCTTACGTGGATAGCGTCTCTAAGTCCCAGGACTTAGGCTACTGGGTTCATTAATGAATGGTGGATTCTCGTGACTATGCTGTCTACCGCGTCTGCTGTGCATTACACAAGAATGTGTAATAACAGAAACTACCTATTCAAAAACGTATTGCAGAATGTTATTTTATTATTCGTCTATTTATCAGATCCCATCAGACAAGCAATCGTTTCTCAAATTTTCATGCTTCGTTCCTTCTCCACTAGCATCCTTGGTTTGTGGGGCATTCTGGTGCTCTCTTTTCGGAATCATAGTATGTATTTTGGCCGTGGTCGGTATGGTGAAGAGACACGAGAAAGTGATTATTGCCGTGAGTTCCTCTCATTTCACGTGAAAGGAGATCTACATTTATGGATATTGCCCAGTGCAAATTAAGGTGTGTTCATTTAATTACAGAACTGAAAGTGCAACTTTTTGTTCTTGTTGTTTTTGTTTGTGCAAAGTGGTTTCACGGCAAAGCATCATACAGGGTCACCGAAATTTTGTGTTTTTGTCTCAAACTAATGATTTTGACAGTTCAAAATGTTCTCATAGGAGGCAAATTGCAATCAGTGGTAAGAAATGCGTGGCCCGTAGGGAATTATGCAAATAGACATTATCTACGAATACCGGTTAGTATTCTTCCAAAAGACTACACAAAACAAGATTCCCAACTGTTAGCATCAGAAACTGGGATAGTTCCTTGGCAGACTGGACCACTGAAATCATCAAATGGTGCACACTATGCGGAAGCAAATGTTTGTGTTCTGCGTGCCAATGATCTGGGGTGGGTGGGCGATTTTTAAATTCCAATTCAATTTTAACACCACGGCACTGAAATGCGGAAAAGTTATAAAATGTGGAGTTGTGATAACAAGTCAACCGTGGTTTGCCCATCCTGTGATAGGGAATTTTTATGAAATCTGCGTTGTCCATAGTCAGTAAATGAACATGTCACAAAATACAAATTTCTGCAAAGTGCAATAAATAAACGCATGCGTTTTTCCGCATACACGGTGTTGTTTTGTTTTATGTGTTCTTAGGTATCATCATGATAGCAGTGTGGTGCTCAGTTTGTGGTGAATGAGTCAAGCTAAAGCGATAGCTCTCACGCCGTGATGGCTCACATCATGTTTGTTATGAAAATCACCACCGCATGAAGGTTACACAACGTGTGCATTTTAGCTGGCTTCGGAAAGCCTCAGTATTGTCGGGGCTGGATGTCTAGAGTTCCGACTGGTCACCCTACCCTTGCACCTCGCGAAATGCTCCCATATGACCAAGTGTCTCGAATAGCCTCTGCTGGGGAACTCGCAAAAATATGATAGGTAATCTTTTTGCTTTATTCATATTTCCAGATACCGGCGACCAACGAGCATTCTCAGGTTGGCTAGTTTACTGGGCTTGAAGACCTCGAAGGCTTTACAGCCCACTTTTGAGCGTCCATTATTATTCTGTTACCGGGTAGTAATAACCAATCAGCATGTTCTGTCCGTTTGGATTTGATATTGTCCGAGTTTAGTTCCATAGACTGATTAATCAGTATCCTGACCGAATCGGGAAGTATATCGAGCAACGGGATGACTTGCTCAGTGGGGTGAACGGAAAGTCGTTTTCCGTCCTCCTCTTTCACTGTTTTGGTTTGCAAGCGATTGATGGCTCTTTTAGTGATCTTGATCTCGTGAGATCCATGCTTTAATTTTATTTCTCGATCCGTACCAATTGTGGCAAGGCAGTTTCTAATTCTCATGCCATAGTATTACACAACATTTTTTCAATTCCTTGCCTCTATGTGAGTATCTCCGCGGCTAGTGAAAATATAGGTCATTGTATTTCAGTTTCAGTTTCTACAACTATTAACCATGCACTATCGTGCGCCGGTTTTGGTTGCTGTCTTTTGGCTACCCATTTGAATGAACATAAGAAGAAAGATAGAAAAGGTTGAAAGTAGGGTCGAAGAGAAAATTTAGGATTTCATTGCACTAATTTTGCAGAGAAATCGACAAGATGCACGAACGCCACTGTTTACGACACCCAGCCATATCGCTCAGTGTCTCTATCTATCGGTTGCGACAATCCTGAGGTCCCCATCCACGGAGCCTAACGGGGCCTATGTGACCCAGACTCCTGGTTCGGGATTTCACACCCTCATGCCAGGTTTTAGCTTGACCACCCTTGACTTTATTCCACCCACTACCTGCCTCGGAAAACATCGCTCGCCGTGGCAACCTATTTGGTGACATGAGTAACACACCTCAACCAGCGCAATCTATGGAGGTCGACCACTAGTTTGAGTGGACGACCGCGACTGCCTAAAACTCTGCGCCTAACCTCAGCATTGTTCGTTCGGCTGCTCCACCAGATCCGTGCAATGCTGCGTAGACAACGATATTCAAACACCAACAGTCTGTATTTATCCTGTTTCCCTAATGGCCAAGTTTCTGTTCCATATAGCAGAACTGGTCGGACTGTTGCAGCATACACTCGACCCTTCACAGACAGCCGGATATCGCGACAGCTTCACAGATGTCTCAAATTGGGAAATGCCAACCGGGGCTTCTGTATGCGAGATGACACTCATCCGTGATGCGCCCACCGGGCGAGATATAGCTGCCCAGATAGCAAAATTTGTCTACTTGCTCTATTACTTCCCCAGTTAGAGTGAGGCTGGGTGCTGGATCAACCCAGCCTTGAAGTAAAATTTTACACTTTGAAGGTGCAAAACGCATACCGAACATCGCTACACTAGCACTCAAACTTTCCAGAAAAGCTTGTAACTTACCTGGAACTTCACTTAGCAGCACAATGTCGTCCGCATACTCTAGATCAGACAACCTGCCACCTCGGAGTAAACCGATATCGCTATCCTTGCACGAGGATAGAACGGTTTCCATAATTATTGCGATATAGTCGATTTAAACCCATCCTTGTGAGGAGATGGGTGGTTTCCATGTAAGACGATGTCGTTTGTTATGCGATAAGTTTATGCTTGACAGGAACAGTCTGTGGTTGGAGCAAAGTAGGGTTACGCGTTCTCTGTTTTCCACCTGGTTAGCGGTGGCCGCATGNNNNCAATAAGCCTTCCAGACATCCCAATTGAGCATTGAAGTCTCCGGTGATAAATAACACGTCCGTTGACCGAGAACTTGGAGCAGTTCAGTGAGTTCCTTGTAGAATTAGTTCATTTCTGGCGAACAGTTGATCAGTTGATCAAACGACGAATAAGCATCGAACCTTTGTTCTGTAGCTGTTGACTCCTATCGAGCTATCCGGACGTACAGCGCAAAGTCGACCATTAATCGGGATCCAGTCGAGAAGTAAACACTCGGCATTGGAACCTAACGTAATCCTGATACCAACAATACCACGAGGTCGGGATGCCAAATCGCCCGACACACGAAGAGTGAAGAGTGGGGAAGAGGTCGGATCTGGAAATCCCTAAGTGATGATAGAAGTAGGGTCTGGTATGCGCGTTCAGGAGACAAAAATCATCTAAATTAGAAGCTTCGAGGGTTCTGGCTAAGGCAGCTTGTTGACCAATTTGATAGGGTATGTGGACATTGAATGCGGTAAGTTGAAAGAGATTTTGGTTTCAAAAATCTGAAAGCTTCTGGTTGGTTGACTTTACTTGTTGAACGCTGAGTGATATCTGATGGGTGACAAAAACAGTAGGTATCTCGTACAATTTGGGAGTGAAATGAAGAACATATAGGAGGACATATAGGGAGGGTTTTACAAATGCTGAATAGGGGGCACTACAAACTTCGCTGTAGACCACACCAATGAAGAGGGTTTTCTTTGAGAACCCTGACCAGAGCCTTCTACTCAAAAGTGTGACACATCAAACAGTAGGGCGTAGATCCAACCTGAAAACATGACCGTGAGGGAGCTTCTAATGATCTATCACGCAAAGTCTTTGGGTTTCGGTTCATTGTGCTGTTCGCTGTTGCGTTGATTAACGGTCCGCTGTTCGGTTTCGGCCCTCAGCCTCATGCACCCAATGAAACAGGTGGAACGCCGACAGAACATTACTTTATTGGCTGAGGATTGCCCAGCTTGGGCAGGCGGTAACTGTCCAGTGAAGTGCGAAGACTTCTCCCATTGTCAGGAGGGAGCCTCAGGTACCCCTCTCCTACATCCATCTAGAGGGATTTTTGACCGGTAGACCGCCCCTCCCCATGTTTATTTGCTGAAGTGACCTCTCCAGGGGAGAGTTTGGGTAGACAAAGGAATCCAAGATATGTTCAAGCAGCTGGTCTTGAGAGAGTGAGCTTCTCCTGACCTCTAATCATCGACCCTTCAGGCATGATTGGATCTGCGGCTGTGAGGAGCCATCTTGCATATGGTATAGGGTCATGGAGGCACATAAGGCATCACATCACGTCAAGGAGCAGTTTGGTCGTGGTGGCGGCGGACCACACAATATTTCAATAGATCAGGTGTGGTATTGAGCTGGACAAACACCTGTGTCATGCGATCGACTGCCAATCACTCAGAAAGTGATGCTTTTCGGTGAGCTCATTCGCTTTTTCAGAAAATATACGTTAGTTGTCAAGGGCCTATAAAAAATCGAATGAGCTCCCCAAAGGCATCACATTCTAAGGAATGGAGCAACTTTCACTTCATTCGCCCTTTCCGCACTCGGTTGTGAATTTCTGCTTAGGCACGAACCCATTACATTTTCAAAGAAATGCAACTATTCACTTGTTTTATTAACACGAATATCCTTGTTGATTTTTGAACTACAGATCATAAATATGAAATACGACAGTGTCCGTTCAATAGAAGAATACCGTTGAAAATATATTGATGAAAATTGAAGTCACAATCAAAGAAGAATTGAGAACAACCACCTGCAAGTCTCGGTTACACATTCACATGGTTGGGTCTTTGAGAGGAATGAGATGGGTAAAGTGAACGGGTTGGAATGAAGTTCTCAAGAAAAAGGCGTGATCTGGTTTATTGCACGAACTCCTCGTCGGCCAGTTCCTCATCTTCAAAAGTTGACTTCCCCAGTTTGAGTCCGAACGGCCCCAGGCGACTCATTTCATTTCGAACGAAAAAGATGGTTGCCGCAAGAATAAGAATCTGGAAAGTGATACCAGATAAATAAATTGGATTTAGTACATGGTGCACCACAAATATCATACTTTCTATTGTCTCTGCCCATAAGTGAAAAACAAACGTGGCCATTGGTCAGAGAGATCAGAATCTTTGCATCAAATAAAACGACAATATAATATAGGATAGCATTATTACGAAAAACTCCGACGACGTCTGATTTTGGGCATGCAGCGGAGGCTATTGATAGTCAGAAGTTTATAAATGTGAAACGCTGAGTAAAAATGCCCGGTTATTGACAAACGAAAATAGCCTTAGACTTTGCTCGGGATCAGATCTCAAATCACCATCATCATCCGACTCAATTTGACTACCATGACAGGTTATCAACCTTTAACAATACATTCCGTTTTTATCAATCCCATACGGGCTACTTCACTTCGCTGAGATTTTTGAACCTTAGTTTCCAGATTTAAGACTTGGATCAGAGCACCATCTGGAATCGAATTAGGCACTGGGCTGAGTTGAGAACCGATAGAATACAGAGATAAGATTGTTTATGCAATTACCAAAATGATGCTTGATACTTCCGAATGAACTTGAACAATGGGAACCAGCAGAGCTATTTTACGTTTACCGGATAGTGATTGTGCATGATACCAATGAGGCATTCAGCTTTTTCCAAAGGAAGGGTAAAAGATTGCACATCAAAATACCTCACTAACTGTCCAGTGTCTTCTAAGAAGCTTGAATAATACATGGGAGATGATATATATATATATATTCAAAGCTCCAAATACAATTAATGAAACCCATTCACCGTAAGATTATACCTGGTAGCGTTCGACCACATCAATCAAAGTCCTCATAAGCTTAATGCACCCTAGGAGTGAATTTTCAACAACTTATCAGTTTATTCAGTGCAGAATGTTGCTAACAAACAGTGAGGAATTTCATCGAGTATAGAACAAACGGAGCATGAACTGAAAAGCTCGGAAGCACGTCACGGCTGTTGCGAACCGATTGGGTTTCATTGATTTAACTGAGGACCTCATACGTAGAACACAAGCATAGCAACCTGACTAATTAGGTTTGGAATGTTTCGTGCAGAGTTATAACCCTGAAGGTTAGTACTAAGATGAGTGAGGTGCAATATCCGCAACCAGCCTGCGAAAATGGGTTGTGATAAATCTTGTAAAGGCGGAATTTAAAACGGTTTGATCGTGTACCTGGTGGACAAATGGGTACTCTCTACCGGTGAGGTCCCGGGATCGATACTTATTTGGATCGATGAATTTGTACTGTTGATGAGGCTCAACCAGGTCGAGACGGCTGTCCAGTACTTCCTAGCTTTTCAGTTCACGCTTTATATGCTCTGTGTACCAGTAAAATCTAATCAAATTTTCCACTCCATCTCGCCTTCGAAAAATTTAATTCCAAAGCCTTAAAAACAAATAGGATTTTTCAAAATGGCATTAGATTTTATCCTCAGGTGGAGCAACACCATGTGCCCAATAAAATGATGTTAGGAAGGATACGAAAGTACAGTGTTATCGAACGTGACCATTCGCACAAGGATAGCTTTGAATTTCTATTGCTTACTAAGATCTGATAGGAATTTGGTAAGTTCTTCGTCCAAACAACATGGCTTACACTAAGACAATATTCCAATAACATATTTACTCCTCTGACTAGAATGCCAAGGAATAGTAACGATAACCTTTATAAATTCTTGATCACATTGCTATATCTAAAAAGAAGTTTAAGGGACCTACATAAGTAATGATTCTTCGTCAGAAACACAACTATAGTTGGATATAAAACTTATTGAACCTCGAGTTCACTACATTTGGATGTGGACAAGCTTTGAACTCGTGTATGTATATTTTCAATACATAAAACATGAAGAAACTTTTTAATTTCTACGCTAACTATGTTTTGATTAGCCATGGCAGGATGAGAAACAACACTGAACAAGCAGCTGCAGCTTTAAAACTGAAAAATAAATCATTACTTTCGGCGGCAGTGAGCAAGAGGGAGCGGGACAAAAGCAACATAAAATGCTAACTTGTGGATGGCAGAAACCGTCACCAATAGGAGAAAATGACAACGGGATTTAAGAACATTACGGACAGATCTGGAGGCAATGAAATGGTGGGGAAGGGATAAACACAATAATATAAAAACGAGAAGAATAATAAAGACAAAAGTCAACATGAAGGCCATCAGCATTGATTTCTGGTGGAAAAAAACCGCGAAGGATTACACGAGGTCAAATGATTCCTATCTAAGATATACATCACAAAATCTTTCGAAAAGCAGCGATCAGAAAGTCACCAATTGAGGATTCCGAGACCAATTGTTCTGCAATAGTTGGTGCAATCCAGAGGTATTGAATGAGGGGTACTAGTTCTTTTACATAACGCGGATGCAAAAGAATGAACAACATGTGCAATGATTTCCAGTACAGATAATGACGGTTTTTCAAAAAATTACAATCAAATGAGTGGAACCCAAACAACAGTATGATTGGATTCAATAAGTTTGTTTTGCGGTAGCATGATAAAGCAAACAATCGATTTGTATATTATGTAGTCTTAAAAGAATATGGGTCCTGTTAGACTAAGAACGCCATTCTGGCAATTCCCAAGTGCCAGTTTTATTTTCATTTATTTTTGTGAGAGAGAGGTCGTATGAGAACGTAGGTTGATCAATTTAGCGAGACCTGAATTTTTCGCATCGGATGACAAGTTCCTACCTGAATAAACATGTAATCATATGATTCTTTCATTTTTTTGCCTTAGTCTATTCAAAAATTGAAGGGTAACTTATTAAGCTCCTTATTTCACTTATCCACAGTCTGTTTGGAAATGGAATTCCAGGAGCCCAGGAAACTGAACGGATGATTGGAAACGTTCAGTACTGAGTTGTGTAATAAACGGACCAAATCTAGAGGAGAAATTTGCTGTCTTATCGCAACAAGACGGGTGGAAGACACGCAGGCAGACAGGCACTCACGTACTAACCACTTTTCATCCGTCTGTCACAAAAAAGACTGGTCGGGTGAAAAAAGTACAGTGTGAAATCAGGTCACGTATAAGTTGGATTATAAACAGTTGATTCCAGCCATATGGAAAGAAGAGGCCTGAGTTTTCGTTAACTTGTCGTTGACAATTTCTGTCAGGTATTAGCGAGTAAAACATCTGCTCTTCGTTTTACTATTCCTTTTGGGTTGGCTTCATCGTTAAGACCGATCGACAGCTCTGGGGTTGGATTATCCTGGTTCCATAATCTGAGATCGCCTACGGAAGTCACGCTGAGCTCCAGCTATCGTCTTCTCCACTTCGGGTTATCTTAGACAAGCCTAGGCCTGTGTGCCCCGTTGCAATAACCCCACTCGTTTTCTGACGCATGGCTTTGCCCTCCCTCCCTCCCTCCATGTATCCACCTGCGTCACGCGGGTTAAATCAGCTAGAAAACTATTATCGAACATTCGTTCCATCTTCAAGAGTGAGTAAGAGAGCGTTGCGTGCGCTCTACTCCTGGCGCGACCTTTCTGGTTTCTATTATGTTCAATTGCTGAATTTTACTTGTACTCATTAACATACGTTATAGACGTGACAGAAAAGCTTGTCTTGCTGTGCTCTTTGAAAAACTGTCCAGTCAATCTGTACCGATGGTCCATTAGACATCATTCAATATGGGTACAAAAGTGAATGCTCATAAGAGTGAACACATTGGTTTCGTGAGCTCCATTCATAAGCATGATCATATGTTTCAGGAAGCTGTGAAATACAGTGTTTCGTGCCATGGAGGTATTCGTTTTGCACGCAATTTGTGCTTGATCATGCAGCAACAGGATCACCGAAACCTTTAGGTAGGGAGCATTTTTACGGCACATTTTCAGAACTAACTGGGGAAGTTATCAATTTGAGTTTCATCTGACATATTTTTCATTTGTCAATTTGTATATGCTAAATTGCTAATGTAAGTTTTCTTTTTTTCACCAGTGTTACAATTAGTTAAGCGGTTAACGGCATGCTGTTCTGTTTGATAGGTGAAACTCCAGGCGGTGATATTCTTTTCACTATGGCCGAATGATGAGCAGCTAGGGGATTTGTGAAACCCAGAGTTCATACTTCTTCTTGAGAGAGAGAGAGAGTGAAGAGAACATAAAGGTTATGATGATCAATTTGGTAATACATTGTTGGTGCATTCGACAAGCAAAATTTATAAACAGCGTCTCCACTACATTAGGAAAGGAAGATTGGATCACAGCTTACAATAGACTACCGATTTTGCATAGCGCCTCGTGAACCAGGCTTTTTGGGTCTAACCAAAGACTCCTGTTATAAACCTAGAAGAAAAACACTCGATTTTGCATGGACAGTTTCACAAATTTATACCACTAAACACCGATTGATTTCTTTTTCATGAAGTGTATTGTATCTTGATTTGTTTCACATGAATTCTGTACTCTGACGAGTGTAAAATGCAATGATAGAACACGAGTAATTTGGAAATGAAACCATGTCCTTCATGTGCGATGCATCAGATTACTGTTCAATCGGAATCAGTCTAGGTGCACAACAGTTGACACGGGTGAGACCTCTACACATCACCACACGGGTCAGCGGGCTCGGTTTTGTTACACAGCACTTCGCCCAACATATACAATATGCACATATTAAAAATTGACGTACTCACCTGGAATAGAACAACACCAACCCAAGCGCATCCAATAATATAAACATATTTATGAAACAGCGCATTAAAAACCGGCCAACATCCGCGATCAAAGTTACTGTTTTCCGGAGTGAAAGTCGTTGGACAACCGGCAGCTCTTTGCTGACGTTCGTTGTGCTTGCAACAGGGAATCGGATACTGCAGATCTGGTAATATGAGACGGTGAGAGAGAGGAAGCCAAGTAAGAATGTACTTATTGCTCATATGGTGTATAAAATGCTGTTCATCCTACTCTGCTCCTCCACAATATCTCAGGAACGGAACATTCCTCCGGACTGATACAACCTATCAACGTATAGAGACCAAAACAATCTTGACTATCCATTTGCTAAACTGATATATCTCATAAAAAGTGCTCTGTTAGAGCAAAATTCTATTACCTCATCCCAGTAACACGTTACGTCGACCATTCATCCTTGAAATACGACGCTCAGGTGCCTACCGTGACAACATTCCCACTCATATAATGGAGGTTAATTCCTTAAAGTGGGACTTTCAGTCCGTAGTCTTCATGCTCTGCTGCAGGAACGAGATCCTAGTGATGTGGGCTTTATATATGAAGGTACTTTCCTGTCGAAAACTCGTGGTTCCTAATCGATTTTCTGGAATCTCGGAAGGAACAAACTCGTTCAGTGTTTCGACATAGGATTAAGCTGTCTGATTTTCTTCGAGAACAACCAGCTGATACCTTCCATTAACAAGAATGGTACCCCAGACCATGAGCAATCGCTATTGTAGGCTAGACGGTTGAAGGTTAACTTGCCTCTGCTCCGGTGATCTCAGTTGAACATAAGTTAATTAGAACCATGGAAGTTAATTATTTTTTGTTGCTGAATATCACTTCGTTCCGTTCCTAAGCCCTGTTGACGTGACACCTAACACGCACAAATTGATCTTCACCATACGAAATAATGATTCCATGTTCCTGAATTAAGGGTTGATGCAGTTTTCAACAGCTTCTGCACACACTAAACACGCATACCAAAGTGCAATGATCGCCGTAACTTTGACACACAGGCTGTGTCAAAAAAAGTGGTGCTAGTGCATCTACTCAACATTCATGCAATCTTAGTCTAATTTTGACTTGACTTCACCAAATCTCTATTTTCACGCTAATAGATATTTGAATATTCCAATCTTCCCTTTACTAGAATTTTGAGGTACTAATCACATATGTGAGTTATACGTTTGGATTTCACAAAAGAATGTGAATGGCCGTTTCTCACAACGGTAGAAATGAACAAAACCTTTTAAGCTTTGCGTTCAAAATTGAAATCAAAGCAATGCGCATCTGCCGTCAAACCGTTCCAATATTTATCCTGGGTGCTTGTGGGAATTATGATTACTTGTTCCTAATGAGACGTTTTGTAATATGCCAGCCACTTTATTGATACATTTACGGTTGTATGCAATAAATGACTCTGCTCTGCCCGGCATTGTCGTGCGGATATGTATTACTAGTTAGCTTTATGTCAACCTCTATGCACCCAATAAGATGAACTTTCAGCAATTTTCATCCTAAAAAGCAGCCATAAGACAGCAAACACAACTTTTTATAATTCCACAAGACGGTGTCCCGTCGAGAAAAGTTGTTTATTACAAATAACTATCAGGGTATCGGTAAATTGTCATTTATACAACAGAATATCTCATTTGGAATGAGTCTTTAGAATTCCCACACGCACACCGGATAGTTGATAGAATAGCCCACTATCAGATGCGCCTTCTCGTCTTCACCATACCGAACAGCAGCATTTCGCTCCAACGGGTGTTGTTCATTTTTGGGCGTTCAAAGAAGCTGCAGATAGCATCTTTTTGCGATCCACTCACAAGTGAGTTGTATCTCACAACAAACTCTTTGCAGTAAAATGCATGTGAAAGTATAGATGGTCAATTTTCGGGTTAGCCCATTCGGTTTTTCACAGACACCAGGCACTGTTGATGATGCATTTAAGTGCATTCCAATAGTCGGGAATTAACGATCTCCCAAGGGGTGAAACCTACACCGAACATCATCAACAGTGCCTGGTGCCTGTGAAAAACCGAATAGGCTAGTGCAAGCATTGACCATCTAAATTGATTGAACCATTCGCATAAGTTCATGACATCGATGTGCAGCTCAGGGGTAAGAATGTGAAGTCCCTACCCAAATGTTCACGGTTCGAGTCCTACTGACGAGTTCCAAACAGGACGAAATAGCTGTTTAGTGCTCCTTGTCGGTTATCGCAAACATTTCCACCGCATTTACATGTAAAAGTACTCTAAAATCTGAAACTAGAATAGCCTGAATTGAAACAGCCGGTAAAAGCTATATCGTGGCTGGATCGGAGATTTACTGGCGCATCCGGTGTTTATCATTCGATTTATACCCGATATGAGTAGGTCAGAATGTTGCAAACAAGCCGCGGTGATCGATGAGTTTTTTCAACAAACGTGTGGCTACTGGTGCCCGAGTCCTTGTACACGAGAATATTTCCTATCAGATAGCCTTGAACCGAGTGGTTATGATTTGTTTCGATAAGTGATCAATCAGTCCAGGAACTCACGTACCATGCAAAACATTGTTAATTGTCGTTCACATACTGAGTGCAACCGAGTGAAACTTTTTACAGTATTGTGTAACTGGATATCGCTTAGAACATCTGAGACCTGACTTGTGCATACAAATCACGTAGCGAGTTGCGAAGCGCACTCTATTGACAACAAACCGAGTAAGGTTAATAGCATTCCACGCCCTTTAGGACAAGTCAGTTAGGATAACTTAGTTAAACTAAACCATAATCAAGATGGGTTTGATTTCTCAAGAAGGTAACCAGTTATATCTTACTCCTACGAAGTTTGATCAACCTAGACGGGCAGTTAGGTTTTCGAAAACCTGTGAAAGAAAATAGAGTGAGTTTGACAGCATTTCGTGCATTTCGCAACCTTAAAATAAATTACAACAAATGAACTCAGAAATTGCAAGTCTCACGTCGAGGTAAAATTATCAGATTGACACACTTTCAGAGTTTATCTCCCCCAGCGGCCTGTCAAGTATGAGGTCTTCAATTATGCACCAATCCTGTGTGATATTGCATGAAGTGATTTCACAAAATGGTGCTGTATGGTAATATCGCACGGAAATCTGAAACTAAAACTGGCTCATTTTTTAAGTCTCACTCTGGTATTTACATATCAGTTAATGAAGTGATAGAATATATCACAAAATCTACTTATTTTCCATATAATAGAATTACCGAACACCGGTGAAAGTGATTTGCGCATTACACTATTGCAATGCAAAGCAATCGAAAACACGCGGTTGTAATAAATGTCTACTTTTGACTAAATCTTCTCTGTTTTTCAGAACCAGATATATCTTAATTTGAAATTTGTTGATAGTTTATGAGAGATCGCTCATAATGGATTCATCAGATATGACGGGTGTTTCAAAACAAATAAAACAAACCGTACTTACACAGGATAGTTCCGTTCAAGGCGCGTCTTCGATCAAACTGTGCCGAATAGTTGAAGTCGGTACCGTTGTGATAACCACAACAATGAAACTGGAACAATAAAGAGGGGTAGATAAACTCTGTAAGATAACAGAGTATCTCGTGATAAAAATCCAAATTATTCTATTTTCCCCCTAATTAGATAATTATTCAGAGAAAAGTAGTCTTCTTCTCAGTACACTAGACATGTGCTTGATCTTATCTTAGGCCCAGAATCGCATTGAAGGCATGCAGCACAAAAAATTGAAAATTCCGTTAATCTAATGCCATGGAAATGTTTGTGATAACCGGCAAAGAGCACTGAACAGCACTAGACCCAAGGCCATCAGGAGTGCCCGGTGCCTCTGAGCCATCGAATGGGTTAATCCTAGCTTGATACTCTAAAATGGAATTAATCTACTCATGAGTAAGTAAACACGAGTCGTAGAAAATCTGTCCGACGGTTCAAATGCAATTGACTGGTGAAAAACAATGGAAGATGTAGCGAATCACCACTAAATGGTACCAAATAAACAGAATCTATTTGGTAATAAAAATTTAAGAAAGAGTCTAATTTACACTTAGGACCAGCCCGTGCACACAGTAAGTCGACGATATTAAAGGGGGTTAATAGAGACGGCTCCTGAGGTTTAGTGTTTTTTAAATTGAGAAGCGTATTTTTTTCAAAAAATCTTACAGTCCTCATGAAATTCTCCATTATGTCACTAGCCAGATCTTGCGAATCCTCAGCAACATAGTCCAACACCAATCCTGCCATCATTTCTTGAAGATGACGGTGGAACTATAAAATAAAACGGAATAGAGTTATCACTGCTAAAAGGATGGGAATCGATAAAACCAGAGTAAGGCAATCTGAAAGATATAAGGTAACGTAGGTTCTTACAATGTATATCGCATTGCTTTACAACCTTTAATACAAACCTGCAAAATCTCCGTCATCTATAACAAAAGCTGCAGCGAATTGATCGTCGAGTATCACCGATAAGAATAAATTGTTCGGTAGTCCACAGGAAACAAACCATCTTGATCACGTACCGCTTACTACAAAAAGAAACCTTGAGGAATTCCGATAGCATATCTGCTCGAATATACAACGTTGGCCCTTTAAAACAGAACGAGATTTAGCCACCCTGCTTAACGGGAACATACACATCTATTGTGATACACCACCGTTCTCTATTCATGCACACCATGAATATATATTCACTTGAAAGCTGAGTGTGCCGAAACCTCTCACATTCTGTGTGTGTGATTTATCTGTGTGAGATGGGGATGATGAATGCTGATAATTAGTAGAAGATATTGGTAACGTTAAGGAGAAAATCCGTCTTCAACACCCACTTATGCAGCGCACTTCGACCGATTTCTTTAAAACTATCTAATTGGATATTTCTGATTAACGGGTGACGTGAATTACTGTCCTTTTCCCTGTCGGCAAAATGCAAACCGAAATAACAGAGTACAATGATCGGAACTTCTTGTGCAGGGTGGTTATCGATAAGAACAAGATCCTTTTTGATTTGGGTGTTCTGAGATCGGAGTAGCTAACAATAGTCATGGAAAATCTACCGTCTTGAAGCTGGTCCTCATCTGTTTGAGTAGGAATTTAAATCCAAAATGAGAATATTCTGTTTGCATATGCATTATTTGATAGAAAAATAATTATATTGTAAAAATTCTCTTTTGGAAATAACAAATTTGAGATTCAAAAGGCTATGAAAAAGCATGGAATGAAACTCACCAAGTAGGGCGCAACAAAATACATTGTGAGTGTTATTATTTCACCGATCAAAGCCAAAACGTGAAGTACCAGGTACTGTGTGGACAGCAACAGGGCGATAGGACGTGTGTGTGCGGTCGGGGACGGGGAGTGGGAGAGTGAGAATATGGAAATGAATCAAGCATGTCGAAATGTTATTTAAAATACAAAATAACTGCAATGCGATTATGTTCCTATATTCAGATGACGTGTGCACTAAAAATCTTCAATTACTCTTCCAATATTTGTTACTGCTGTGTTCTGTGCACTTGAATGATGGTAGAAAAGTATATTATTCCATTATTTTATCATTATCACCATCGTCATCATCCACACCAAGCACATAATGGCTGACAGTTCAGAGGTCTAAAGCTTATCGCGAACAGTTTGTATTTCTATAAGCTCAGTTTGAACTGCACCCTTCATATTATGCTGTGGCGATGATATGCTAAACCATAATCTGGCTAGAATCCATCTGAGTACCACGGGCCCCACGGACTTCAATCTGATTCGCAGATCCCTGGAATTCATATCTTTATGCAGTCGTTTTCGCAGAAGTCAAATATAACCAAAACCCTTTCTACAAAAATTGCTTCCAATCCTACACATCATCAGAATGCTGACTTGGTTCAATGTCTATTGACGTCAAGCACCCGTTTCGAATTCGGGCAGTAATTCGCGCATACTCCTGCATGCAAATCCTCTGTTGTAGCTTACCGGACTCTTCCGTCAAACTGGACGTATTTACAACGAACTGAAATACCAAGCGAACTAATTGCCTTTGTGCTTATTTTTATTGTTCTTATTTACTGTTTCCGTAATATGGTTTGCATTGAATGTTCACCCCTCCCAATTACTTGAGCTGATGGGAATAAAACCAAATTGTTCAGAGGACCACACACAAAAGTAATTGAGGAAGAGAATTTTACATGTGAAGCAGCACTGCAAGATTTATGTCTCGACAATTTCGTTTCATCTCAGCTGGTGTCTACTGCAGACAAATTCAATGTTTATTTAGGGTTTTAGATTGAATTACAAATCAAACACTTGTAAAAGGTTGTAAGCGTTACCAAGGCAAAGCCGAAGTGATGAGCAAGTCCTTTTGTTGAAAGGAAATTAGTTTCCATCGGTTGATTGCAATCGCCTAGGCGATCTTGAACATTTTCCTTGTGTTATCATTAGTTGAAATCACTCAAAATGCTTTCTCGCAATACACAAGGTGCGTCAGCCGCATATGCTTGGCAATTGATGAGCTTGGTGTTTTATAAGCACGGTCCTTAACGGTTACCGGCTGTGCGGACTTTGACATGCCAAATTTCTCACGGGGAAAGCTTGTTTCAATTTCACGTATGTCAAATACACTCAATCCCCAAATGATGATCACTGTGGATTTCAAGAAAGGTGTACGGTGTGCAGTTTTCTCCGTACTGAAGTCTAACAGGAATGAGCAACTGGTTAGGCTGAGCATAATTGGTCGCATTTGTTTCTTCCTTTTTATTTCAAATTTAAGCTAAGAAGAATTTCACGCGTTCATTAATGTGAGAATCACGGTTTGAGCGAAACAACGGAAAAGATTCACCAGCAAAACAATAACTTGTCTTCCGTTGATACAAATCAAGGCCTTGATCTTGATCTCTGTCAGGTCCAGTAAATGCAAAACAATATACTGTTTATGCCATGCTGATGTTTTTTTGAGGAACTGGAGTGATGCATTTTGGTTACTTTATGCTTACTTTATCGATATTCGGTGTGATTCGTCCGTAATAGTGTCGTGAGGTACTATTCACAAATATGAGCAGTACGGAAAATAATGCAACTGGCGGTTTCTTTCAACGATCAAAAATGAACAAGACCCGTTGGAGCGAATTGCTGTGATTCGGTATAGTGAATACAAGAAAGCGCAGCGGCTGTTGGACCATTCTATCAACTATCCTATGTGCTCGTGGGAATTCTGAAGACGCGTTCCAAATGAGATTAATGGTTGTATGTATGCCATTTTACCGAGACCCTGACCGTCATTCATAATAAATAACCGGTCAAAGCACGCCAGAGAATTTCTCGAGCCCTGGCACTCTTCAACCAACTCAATAAACAG